GTGCCTTTACATCGAAGCGAGACGACCGTTGAGCGTGCAATGATAGATACCTGTGAATAATTGTCTGTAGGTGTGAAAGAAGGTTTCTATCATTGCACTCTCAATGGTCATCTCGCTTCGATGCAAAGGCACGGCTACCTTTCAAGATGGCACAGGTAACCGTGAAGAAGACTATTAATATACGTGACATTTTATCATACGATTCTCAATCATTGTTGTTTGGTTTTTGTTTGTTTTGTTTTGTTTGGTGGCTAACAATATAAATAAGAAGCAAAAGATTGCCTGTTGAGGAGTGTGCGTGACATATGTGTGTGACCTTTATATCAGTTTTGCTTGAGATGCCATTCATGAAATTCATATGGTTTACCAGCAGTCCTTCAGTTCCCGGGAGTCCTTCTCAATGGCGAAAACTTCAAAGAGCAATTTTTCTTGTTTTCATTATRTCTCCTCTCCCGGCCAAATAAAGAACTGATAGGATTGTTAGATAACCTTATGAGTTTCCGTTTACACTCTAGATTATGGACTTTATATCTCTGGATCAAATGTGAGTTTTGTCAAGAAAACGTACCTGCATCCTTACCCTGGTTCCAGAGGTTTTCTCACTTTATATGTTARATCGTACTTTTGTCTTTGCTTTTTAAATTTAACGATGCAAAATTTAAAAAGAAAACACAAAAGTACGATAAATACTAAAAAAAAACATCTATAAATAAAGAGAAAACCTCTGGATTGGAACCGAGGTACTGCATCCTCTGATCTGCTTCATATTCCCGCCATGTTGCTCTGTCAGTAGAGGAGGAAAACTAGGCCCGACTTCCGCGCGGGCGAAGCACCCTGGGAATATCGACGTGTCAACGCATGCGTAGAACAAATCATTCACAAACAAATTTCAGATGATTTCTTGTTTTTACTGAATTTATTAAGTTTACAACTTCAAAATACAACTTTCTTAGCAGCTGGTAGGATTTARGAGACAGTGTTTCAATGGGTTTTGTATGACACTATACCTGAAGTGGTGAAAATGCTGCCAGAACCCGCGAATTCGTCGTATGCATCGTCTCAAAACAAATTTGTTCGAAAAATGTCGACTTCAAAAAGCTGGAAATATCTTCGACGAATTTTAATGTATCGACATATGGACTTTGAATTTGCTTTATGGCAAATGTTATATCTTTGCGTGGCTCCACAGAAAGTGTAAGTTTAACTG